TATTTATGTTTATATTTGTATTTGTATGTGGATATGAATATATATATATATATATATATATGTGATTTTTTTTTTATTTTGTATGTATGTATGTATGTATGTATGTATGTATGTATATGCATATATATATATACATATATATGTGTTTATATATGTATATGTATATATAAATATATTTGTTTGTATGTATATGTATATATATTTGTATAGATGTTTGTATATATATGTGTATGTTTTTTATTTTGTATATATATTTATATTTTTATTTGTATATAGATATGAATATATATGTATATTTTTTTTTGCTGTTTATTTATTTTATTTTAAATTTAAAAAAAAATCGATTTTTTTTTCATATTTTTTGGAATTTTTTAAAAAATATGACGTGGCATTCTGATGTGGCAAAAAATCTATGTGGCGTGCCACGTCAGCCGCCACGTGGCGTGCCACGTCAGCGGTTAACGGACACTTAACACCGTTTTCGGAATGTGTAGGAAATTGCAGTTAAATTGGGTAGTTCGTGTATCAATTTGGCACATTTGATAATTTGGTGTAGTTTTTTGTCAAATTAAAAATTCGTTTAGGAAAAGGTCACATTTTGCAAAATTTATGTAGGAAAATGTCATTTTCCCTTGTTTTTATGTGTGGGTTTTATTATGTTTTTATATGTATTTGTTGGATGATTGATGAACCCGAGATGTAGTTTTAAAAATTATCGTTTTAAATATATTTATATGTCTGCATATATAACACACCATTACATACTTATTGCGGATATATCATGATTAATAATGAAGTGAAATGAAAAAGTGTATATTAAAAGAATACCGGAACAAATACACGTATCATATGATGAATTAGAACAAGCGAAAATCTTATATTAATACATGAACTTATTAAAAAAAATTCAAATAAATACACGAAATTTAAGAACACGTGAATTCTTCTTAACTTCCAAATTAAAAACTTTATTTAAAAAAATCCAAAAAAAACACCAAATCATAGTGGTATTTGAGAGTTGTTTAAAATTTTAATATTTAATTTTATGACGGGTTTTGAGAATAATTTTAAATTTTATAAATTATTTTAATTGATTTTAAAAAGTTTAAGGTTTAGTATAAAAAAATTGGAATAGTTCATATATTTAATTAGAAATTTTAAAATTCGTATATTTATTTAAAATATTTTTATATAAGATTTTCCTCTAGAACAACAATAAAAAAAAGTAATGATTCCTTCAAATTTTTATTCTTTTTCCCAAATGGAACTAGATTTTATCATTTTTTTTAATCCATATTTACATCTTTACACGTCTTCTACATACTTCAAAGAGAAATGTTCAGATTCAATTTGATCAGGTGATTGTTTTTTAAAGTTCCTACAATTTTCAAGATTCGAATAAGGAAAATGATGTTATATGCCTTTTTCATATCTGATAAGAATAATAACAAATAATATATTACACACGTTTGAAAGCGTGATAACCAAATATTACGTAATATATATATATATATATATATATATATACACACCCCTTGGTTATATAAAACCTAATGACCACATTTTTTTTTGCTTAACTAATGACCACATATTTGTTACCTAACTACCAAATTAAAGTGACTGCAGAACCAAACGCAATTGGTTCCCCTAACACATAACCCCCGTGCGCGTTTGTTCTCGAGACAAGACATTAGGAATGTTGCCTAGACAAATAAAATACGAAAATTAAATAAGACAAATAGAAAGGAACAAAATTACTTTTACTGGTTATATTACAATGAAAATGAAATACATATTTATAAAAAAATTAAGAAACAGAGTAAAAAAGAAATATAGATACAATGAAAACAAATTAGATACACGATATTCGACATAATGATATTTATCCATTATTATTCCCTATCATATCTCAAATCTTATTTTACTCCCATCACATATTCATTTTCTCATTTTAACATGTCGATGTTAGAAAAACAAATGGTTAAATAGAAATAAACCCAAATCATAATTTTGTCCAAGTTTCAAATTATTATTACCAAATATTGTATATATTATATGCTCAATATAGGTGATAATTCTTTACCAAAACAAATATATATATATATATATATATATATAAAAAAGTATACTCACACACGATATTGTCAAACGAGAATTCCCAAAACTGATTCTATTACTTGATACGTGAAAAGTACACTTCAACCTTTCCAAGTAGTACTTAACTCACCTAGTTTTACTCCCCCTGAGCAAAACTCCCGTATCTCCCTGTAATTCTATCAGTCACAAACACTATGTGTGCAACACACACCACGTGTCTCCTTAGACTGCGTCTAAGCCCAGTAAGTGGTATGCCTGTTGTTCAAGGCTCCCCCTTAGATGTACCTCACGTACTCTCAGATGACTCTCACCAGTGTTTCCCTTACAACCAATCCTCCCAAGATCACTCACACAATTCTCTCTTAATAGCAATTAATCTCGGTGCCTTCTCCGATGAAGACTTGCCTCCATATATACTCTTCAAGTTCCTTTTTTCAATCTTTTCCAAATATGTATCTTTCCTTCTTTTCTTGATTCATGCAAATGGCTTCTTTCCTTTTCTCTCCTCGGCTTTTGCTAGCTTTCCAAATTCAGCTCCAACCTTCCATTTGTCATTGTATATCTTCTAGATGCTGAATATACTCTTGCTTTTACATTCTCCCCCTTTTTGACTTTCTGCTTAGACACATTTAAACGCACAGAATACACAATCGCAACAAAGAGAAACTGATTCATAGCATAATAAAGCAAAGAAGTCTGATCACAACACATGTTAAAAGACATATGGTTAGATGACCAACACACAGTATGCAATAAGCTGATCAACCAAAAAACTAGGTCCACTTCACAACCATGAAGTGTTGTTCACTAGAACTCATCATAATCCTCAGAGTTTTCTTCCCCTTCGACATCTTCCTCAGCTCCTTCCTCAGCATCACTCAGTGCTTCCTCTACCAGTTTTTCTTTGCCTTTGTCCTTTGTGGTCGACAAGTTCGCTCCTCCCTCACTTTCTCCCCCTGTGTGGGTAAGCAGAAAGTCAAAAAACATTAGCACTAGAACATCAAGAAAACATACCTGTGTGAAGTGAACTAACGACCATTACTCTGGAACTCCTCCCGAAGAGCATGTTGTTGAGCACGAATCTGTGCAACCACCTTAGCATTCTTCCTATTGGACTGTTCCACCTGAAATAACCGTTTGTCATGCTTCATCAGGAGAGTGAATGTCTTGCTGCACAGTTGACCACGGCTCATCCTTGCTCGCTGCACTCTGGACTCGATGACAAGTGGTCGCTGAATTACTTCAGTGATTTCTGAGTCTGCTATAATTTTCGGACTCTGTCGAACAATGAGACTCTGAATGAGGCAGGGGTGAGGTAGCAAGTGTCGAACTCTCATGTTCCCCGCGCGGGAAAGAATGTGACTGTAGATGATGCGTCCCAAATCAACCTTCTCCTTCCTCAGAAACTTGAATATCAGCAAAGCTAGTTCATCCTGAATCACATCAGTTCGGCGAGTAGGGAACCAGTTTGTCTTCCCCACCAGGAGCATCACTCGACTCTCAAACTTGAGAGTAGAGATGGGTATCTTACCACTCCTCCCTTCAACATATTCACCCGTGAGAGCTACTTCCATATCCTCAAGTGAAGTACCAACTGGATAGTCCTCTAAGCCTTGATCAGAATCAGTGGGCAATCCCAGAAGTTTGTTGATAGTGTAGGGGAGAAATCAATGAACCGTCCTCTGACATATGCCTTGTGATACATTGGATCTCCAGGAATATCAGTACGTTGAGTGAGATTCGCATAGAACTCACGCACAAGTCCTTTACTAAATGGACAAGCATAAGTCATAGTTCCAGTGAGTTGCCTTTCGTCAAACAGATCCCAGACTTGGTTCTTCCGAAAATCCATTACATTCACATTTCTCCCAGCAATGACATCAACTCCCTTGAATTTCTCA